TCCGTTTGATCGAAGGGATTGCTTTCTCTTTCTAGAAAATTTTGCAGAGCTTCGCTATAGCTTATGAAACGCACAAGGGAGAATCGCTCTGGCCTTGGGTATTTATAGGTTCCCCAGCTTCGAAGTATGGGCCTCGGTTTGAAAGCCCATCATTACGGGCCGCCGCCTCAACCAATGGGCGGCACCCGCCCTCCTTCAGCCAACGAGAGCCGGACACGTGGACCCCACCTCCAATGGCTATACTTAATGGCTCTATTCTGAGACACAAGGTTGCCTCAGCTAGCACCCCTCGAGACATAGGCAACGACTCCTGCGAGGTCCATGTGTCTGCCATAAGCCTTCGGCTTCACACACATTATGAACCCCTCTCCTGGAATACGCCCTCGGGTCAAATCATCACTTGAAACTCCTTCAGCCCGAAATAGCCTTCGGCCTAAAGGAGTGGGAAACTGGGATACACCCCTCGGGAACAATACAAAAAAAATATATAAATGCCAATGCAGCCTCCGGGTAACATCAGACATGAAACCCCTCGGGTACATGTTATCAATACAACCTCCGGAAAAAGAGCACGTTTAAAAAAAAAACGCAAAAAAATCACAGAGGTACCAAGAATGACAAAGCAGCCTTCGCCACAACACATGCGAGCAACACATTTACACTTCCTCCAGGAAGCACTCAGCCCTCGACATGCGGGGAACTTAGGGAATGCCCTCGGCAAACAGCAAAGAGCAAAGAATCGATTAAGGCACCCAACAAAACAAGGAAGCCTTCGGGAGGATCGCCACAATTACTCCTTTTCCCTCAAGTACCTTTCGGCAAAAGGAGTGGGGGACTCCTGATGGATTATATGGCCCGGGAACCCCCAGCCCACAGACTCCTGCTACTCCAACACAGGCCCAACAGGCCCAAGAAGCGCATGAAGCCCAAAGCACTGCGGCCCATGCTCAAAGGAACCCACGGTGCGCCTGGGGATGCCTTCGACGTCGTGGCCGAAGGCTCCAAACTCTAGGACACAACTGATTTTCCACATACAAATCCACTGGGAGAAGACGGCGAAATCAGGAGCCTTCGGCTCATACACGCCCTCGGCATAAGGGTAGCCTTCGGCTACAGATAACCCTCGGCTACAAGAGAGCCCTCGGCTACAAGAGAGCCCTCGGCTACAGGGGAACCTTCGGCTAACAGCTCGATCATCGAAGATTCCCTTTGGAGACAAGCAACCACCGCATTTAATGCAAAGTCACGTCCACCCACCACATTTAATGCGGTGCACATGCGAGTGCCGGTGCCACCCCGATTAAGGTGACCCCTCGGCCGTTAGATTATTGACACGTGTACTCTCATCGCATTTATGGCTGCTATAAATAGCAGCCTTTATTCCTCATTACAAGGATCCAACATATCGAGATCATTTTAATACATTTGACTCTCTTTCTTACTTATTGCTCCGACTTCTCTCTAGGTTATTCCTCGAATAACCCCTCAGATAAGATACCCCGGGTACACCATCCATCAATAGGCACTCGTAACAATAAAATAGATTGTTTTTGCTCTATTTCTAAGTGGTGTCGTGTAAGTATTGAGTGAGTTATACCCTATTTTTAAAATTTGGGTAAATAATCTATAGTTGCATCGAATGTTGATGATTTTACGTCTAGATAGTGCTGATTTTTCAAAAGCCATAAATTTTTACTCGTAATGAGTTATGAGGGTCATAATATATGAAATCGAAGATATTTCAAAGTTCTATACACTCAAGTTTTCCGCGGCATCGGATGACCACCCTGACCCCCCATTGGCTCCGTCCCTGAGTATCAATATATTTTGATTGGGTGACACAAGCTTCAAATTATAATAAACTTGATAGGTTAATGTGAAATATGGTTTTTCTAGTATAAATTATTATCGGGCATTATTAATGATAAAATTTTTATTTTGGGTATTGACGACTTTCGCGCATTACGCGTGAAAAACGCTTAGTAAATACAATAAATATGAGTATTTATCCTCACTAACAAAATGACTTAACCGTATCTAATATCTTATATGTAAGTGTATAACTAGTGTTTAACTCGTTATACAAATATAGAACTTATGGTTTTCATAATATCTTATGTTTTCACTTGAACATCATATATGTTTTCACATACTAGATCAGACTTGAGCACATCTGATTTAGGTATGACAGATCAAATCATATTTATCAGACCGGATCCCACATTTAAATAAATTAGATTGTATAAAATCTCTTTCAAAATGCATTTGTGAAAATTACATATGCTCAAGCATGAATACGGATGTTTTAACTTAGACTGTAATTTGTCCCAAACCAGATTAGATCAGACCAGATCAGACCAGACTTGGATAGTTATAAAAATACAAAGAAACCTGACCAGACTAGACCAGACCAGATCAGACCAGACCAGACTAATAAATTACAGTCCAAGTAAAAACATCCTACCAATCGCAATATACGAAGTAACTCTTGGCATATGTTGTTGCTGAAAATTTAATGAGATTACACGAATTACGATTTGTTCGCTCGAGCATATATATTTGGTAGATTCTATGGTAGATTCTACACCCTCCGTCCCGGAAACAAGTTTCGAGTGAAAATTCACGCATATTAAGAAAATAAACTTACTGAGGGATAAATTTTACTGTTTAGTACACCATTGTGACACTGTTTGACATTGTTTGACAACGTTTGTCACTGTTTTGGCACTGGTTTGATGTAAATAATTTGCCAAATAAGGAAATGTTTGAAAGTGGAACTTAATTTTGGTACTGCCTGAAGAGGAAAGGTGGAACTTGTTTCTGGGAGGGAGTATATATTTTGGCCATTGGAGCTAAACATTTTATTCAACTAGAAAAACTTAATCTCGAAAGAAAAAAAAAAACAAAATCAATCCCTACACGAATGACAAATCTAAAAAAAAGATGACATATCTTCAAACTCGGATTTACTAGCTCCAAATTCCCTATTTTCAGAAAAGCTAAGTTTGAAGGAAAGTTTGGGATCCTTAGGCGGGCCGCAATCCATCCATCAAAAAGCTTTATTAACACTTTTCCCTCCTAAAAATGCTTCAACCCAGTGTATTGAAGGAGGCCAAAGTGGATTGCTGCTCCACTCCGAGTGGGAATCAAAGGCTTATTGACAGAGGAGAGAAGTTAGCTCGAGCATTGACGTACGTAAGAAATATGAGTGGTCCCATTCCAATTATAGAGGAAACTTAATGTCAGGCCGGCCTGACGGGCTGCTCTGCCCGGCCGAGCCCGTTTGGGCACCTTCCCGGTGGAATTTTTTGATGAAATTTTTTGAGCATGTTCCTCATTAAGTCTAGTTTGTCCATACCAAATTTCAGCTCAAATTTCGATCGGGAAGGCATTCAAATCATTTTTTGAAGTTGACTGCAGTTTTATATGTATATATGGACAAACTGGACTTGATGAAGAACATGTTCAAAAAATTTCATCAAACAATTCCACCGGGAAGGTGCCCAAACGGGCTCGGCCGGACGGAGCAGCCCGTCAGGCCGGCCTGATGAGAAGAGCACTCTCCAATTATAAACCCCAATTTTATTTAAAGTATTATAACTTTTTAATTTTCACTTCAATTTTTATAAATGATATATCAAAATTTATAATTTTTAATTCTGTTTCATATGACATCAATATCACATATATAAATTAGAAAAACAACTTTTAAATGTTAGGGGTATTTAGACTCAAAATATTTCTTAAATATAATTTTTAAGAAAATTAAGATATATTTCAGAAATTTTTTCTTAATATAACTTTTAAGTGCTAAGATTAAGATCTCATGAGTAAAATATTTTTTTACATCTTTCAATTTTTTTTTTATTTTTTTGTACATCGGAATGTTTGACTTTTTAAATCATAATCAATTGTAAAAAATTGGATAATTTTGATGCATAATATTAAAAGTGAGGTATTAATTAAAAAAAAGTTTTTTGAATAGATATATTGACGGTGTTGGATTGCAGTAAAAATTGAATTGAATGAATGAATACGTATAGATTGAGAAACTCATTTTATTGACGTAGATGGGTTGGAGTCGGCCTTAATCTTTTAACTATTAGCTTTGTATGTCAATTTTTGGCAACACTATACTTTTGATTACACGCATTCTGGAATATTCAAAATAGTTAAGGCTGCAATTACTAACAGATTCATTTTGCTAAAGAAAACTATTTTGACATTTTCATATGGAGTACTTTTATTTATTTAACTATAAAACATATTTTTAAAATTTCATAATCTAACAGATTTAGCTATTTTAGTCAAGTTTTGATAATTTCAACCAATTTACTTTCTTTTCCTTTGGACGTTTCTAGGAGAATATGATCATCACTTCATTATTACTGATATTTTCATACAACCTCAGATATGACAAATTTCTATCCAGTCCTATAATCGTTCGTATGCTTTGTTTGGTAGGAAAAAAAAGCTTTGCATTTAATTTGAAATGAACTGGTTTGGCACGTTTTCTTTGATTTAAAAACGATTTTGAAAAGACGACACAACAGTCATGCGGGTCCTGTATTCCTCCAGATATACTCCAGATTAGAATGAACAGACTTTTTTGTTCATTAATGTTCCTGTCTGGCCATATATATACGGATTTTACTTTTTCCAATTTGTTTTTAATGACGAACTTATGTCTAGAGTATTTTTTCAATATAATGCTTAAGAATAAACTATTTGTCAAATTAGGATTGGGCTAAAACTTTTTACTAAAATACCGCTGGTTGAAACATAGTGTCCAATTAAAATACCAAAATTCAAGGCCCGATGATGAGAAATTTTGACAGAAATATAATTTTGGTTTTTGATATTTTAATTAGACTCCATGTGGCCTTCAAATTTTTAAAATATGAATTTTTGAAAAACCATTAAAAATTGTGATTTTTGATATAACCCTGTATTGGTCAAATATAGAACAAATGTTGTACTTCGTGTATATATATGTGTGTGTATTGATCTTAGTAGTAGCATTCGGTCGATTTAATGAAATCAATTAAGAATGGTAGTTTGTAACCGAGCTGTTTGATCACAACACAAGGAGAGATGAGAGAGACTCTCCCATCCCTCACTAGAATTCCGGTGGAACATTTGTGAACTCTGCCATGAGTATGGATTATCTTCCTCCATGGCACTGGGACACCTACTCCTACAATGAATACTGTTGTTGCCAGCATAGGAGAAACCCACTAAGGAATTGTGATAAGATTTTTCCAAGAAGCCGACAAAAATCACAACCCAGCATATACGAACATCAACTCTTCAGACCCAGAGCCGAGAGAACTGGAGACGGACATCATCTCAGGTATGCTCACTATCACAAATCGCACAACATCAGGCACGAACGTTTCCCAGACCACAACGTACAGGGTAGGCAGTTCAAAGCACGCCGTTTTCTTCACCAACAGCCGGCACAAGCAAATCGAATTGCTCCAAGAGAAGCCTGGCGCACCGTCAGCTACAGGAAGAGGCGCTACAACCACAACCAGCTTAGCGCTACGACTCGACGCAATCACTTAGGCAATCAGTCACAGACAACAGCGCATCGCGGCGGACTACCAGGTATTTCTAACCGCTACCTTTGTTTAGATATTGAGGATGTACAGCCTGAATCAGTTTACCCACAACCGATTGAGAACGAACAACCTCGACCTTACTACACCTCTCAGAATAGAGCTGGATTAAATCGAAATTGGAGAAGAAATAGGGATGCTCAAAACCGACAAAACAAGAATGAATTTGACTTCGAAACCCCTGCTGTTGATGACGGAAACTCTAACCAACGACCGGTGAACTCTACGCCGGCGACTCCAGGGCCCTCAGCAGACACAACCCCGGAACTTGAGGCGGATAAGCTTGCTGTAGAACCACATCCAGTGACATCGAGGCCTCAAGAAACAAACACAGGGTACGAACACAATTTTGGAATCTTGACGAGAGCAAACACTCTCACGTGGGCGGACCTCCTGAGACCCAACAAGGATTGCAACCTCTCTGGCAGTCCAGACAACGGAAAGGATAGGGCTGTACAATTATCAGCCACTAGTTCCATAATTAACAAAGATTTGGATTTTCTCTCCAAGGATAAACAATTAATTATATTCGAGGGGAGCACATCTTTGGTAACGACGGGAAGCACTTGGACCGAATCAGAACCTTTGTCTGTGGATTCAGATAAGTATTATTTTTTTGGAGAGGAAGGGTTTGATTCAATTAGAATTGATTCTAAACTCTATAAGTTCGCAGTTCGAAATGGTGATTTGGTCATCTTTGAAATAAAAAAATCTGTACTCCACAAGATTAATTTCAATCTTGATCTCGTCCCCCCAATCATCCGATTTATCTCCCAATTCACAAGTAATGACCACTCAAAATTTAGGCAGCAAAGGAAATTCGGCCCGATCACGGTTTCTTCTGAATATATCAACTCAGATTGCTGCTTGAAGATTGCGAAGGAAAAAGGGAGTTCTATCATTTTTTCTATGGGTCCACAAAAATCCAGCCTATTAAAATTTTTGGCTATTTTTTCTAATTTTGTTGGAAAGCCTCAGTTGGTGCAGGAAGAACCTATGCATTCAGAGTTTGAGACTTCGGCGGAACTGACTTCCATTTCCAAACTTATATTCAACTTTGAAGTCCAAAGAGCCTATGTCGAGAAGCAAAAAACCGCGTCTACTGAGAAACAACCTCTTATCTCATCACTCTTACAGGCTTACTCAGATGCCTCGGACAGCTTTGACCCATCAGATGACTCATATTTTTCAGACGATTTTCTGGGACACGCAACGGAATCCGACCGTAGACCACCTATTTCAGAACAAGAACAAATAAGGGATTCCACATTCAACAGAGCAATTTGCCGTAAATCACAGCTCATTACTTCAGAAAACTGCCTTCCAACTGACAATTTGAACACCCAGCTTAAAATTTACCGGAAGTCCCAGAAGAACAAAAGGCGGCACAGTATGAGAACTAGGTCTCAAACCAAGGAATTTCCATGGACCTAGATTTTTTAGTTTTTTTATTTCCCTTTTTGCACTTCTGTAATTTTTCCTTTTCTGTGTTTTTTTTATCTCTCTTTGTACTCCTTCTTTTATCAATAAAATCCCTCTTAAAAAAAATGGTAGTTTGTAACCCGGTGTGAGTATTCTCGAATGTGATAATGACAATCTCAGGTTCATCTATTCTTTCTGATTCATCCATTTGTCATATGATGAAATCAATTAAGATTGATGACATTAACACAAGTGATTTTTCGGTCTAATCAATATGAATATTCCATCTTAGATTACTAACCATGAGACGAATTCATTAGTAATCCAAGGTTACTACTTTTGAAAGGACCAAGTGAATAACAAGCATATTCATTGACCGATTCTAGTAATAATCAATATGAAAATATCAACTAATTGATCACCTAACGATGCACAACTATCAATATGAAATCTGAATAGGGAAGTAATTAAGAGAGCAGGATTAAAGAAATAACTCACAATTTACAAATCACATGCTTCAATATAGCAAAATCATGCTCAAAATGCTACCTAAATTACAAGATTAAAGTCTATATGAAAGTGGGGGTTGATGTGTATGTAAAATATGACGGAAATAGGTATTTTTATGGGAGAAATGGGGTGGTTGGGTCATATGCTCGACCGGGTATCCTTGACAATAGCTACGAAAGTGTTGAAATCTAGTCATACCCGATTGGGTATGTCAATATACCCGATCGGGTGTAAGACAAAATCTGACTTTCCCACGTTCTCTTATTTGGGGGCTATTATAAAATTTATAAATTATATACAAATACAATAGTTAAAAGAGGGAAATAATTTAAATACCTCAAACTTTAAAGGTGTATGAAATAAGTGCCCCAAACTTGCATATGTAATATATATACCCCAGACTTTGTATAAAAAGTTATTTTCGCACCATGGTTGTATAGTTTTTTACAAATAGAAATTTATTGAATTATTACATAATTCAAAAATACTCTAAGCTTGGTAAGAATGCAGTTAACATTCTAAAATTTCATTTGTGAAATAAATAATATTACATCTGGTACAATTTAATTTTAATCGCATGTTCATAAATGTTTTGTGTATTTTAAATTATGTACCTAACATCATAAAATTAGATTTATGAAAAATATATGATCATGGGGCTCATATAACTTTTTATATAAAGTTTGGGGTATATATGTGTGTGTGTGTGTGTATATATTATATATATATATATATATATATATATATATATATATATATATATATAGATTTTGGTTCAAATGAGAACACCTCTTAACGTGAGATGTGAGAACAAATCTCATCCATCCAAAATCTAAACCGATCTGCAATCAATTTAATGGTAGTAAAGGCTATTTTCGTCTAACACATGTTTGACAGTTTTGGTAAACGACGATTTACTTAGACCTTCCATGTTCCTACGGTTTATTAATGGAAAGAGATAACTTCCATATCATATTGAATATTTTATTTTCTTTTGTCACATCAATTGATCGAGCTTTTCAATTATAGACAAAATATCACTCCTTTTTATTTCATTTGTCCATTAGTCACGTTAGTCTTCATGATATATTTTCTTTTCATTTATTTTGCATCAAATATCAATTGTAGTGTATTATATCCTAGCTAATAGTAAGATGACCGGTGATCATGTGCTTTAAATATTGATTGTTGTTTGTGAGATACCGATTCTTGTGTGGTAAATACTTATTATGTGGTTATATATATTGCGTTAGCTACTGGCTCTTGAGCACACATTCGTATTGTGCATTAGATATTGATTCTTGTGTGTTATATATTAGTTTAAATCGTGTGAAATCCTTATGCATTTTTATATTAATTACTCCGTTGTTTTTAATTTTGTGTGATAGATATTGTTCTTTGTGCATAAGATATTGGACATTGTGCTTAAGATACTTATTTTAGTTTTTATTATACGTATTGTGTGTTCGATTCTGGTTCTTGTGTGTTAGATATTAGTTGTGTTAGATATTGTTCTTTGTGCATTAGATATTGGACTTTGTGCTTAACATACTTGTTTTAGTTTTTATTATATGTATTTTGTGTTAGACTATGGTACTTGTGTGTTAGATATTAGTGGTTGTGTGTCAGATGGATATTCTTGTGCATACGGTAGCTGAAAATGTTTCTTTTGATTTATTGTATACATATTATACTTATTTTTTTTAAAAAAATTATATATGACATATTGGTGTCAAATGAAAGATAAAAAAATATTACTTAATTTGATGTATTTTTTTGTTAAAATCATATTATAATTTAAAAAGTTAAATCAATTTTTAAATTAAAACATTTTATGTGATTTGACCTTTTATCTCTTCCTAAATTTTAGGTAGAAGATATCCAACAACCGATACTACATTAAAAGGATTTTTGAAAGATTGTCAAATTTACCCTCTAGGCAAGCAATGCATCGTGAATTTAGTTGGTCATATGTGTTTTTGTGTGACGCAATGTACTGATTAATCGTGCACCTACGGAATAATCAACCATTCGATTGTCTTTAATTAAAAGTCAGGATTTGTTCTCACATCTCACAATAAGGAGTGTTCTCATTAGAACCACTCCCTATATATATATATATTATATATATATATATATATATATATATATATATATATATATATATATATTATATATATAGGAATATTCCTGTCCGGGATTTCCGGACAGGAGACCCATCCGGTCTCCTCCATTTGGGGGCCTTCCCAGTGGTATTTTTTGCTCAAATATTTTGTGTATGTTCCTCATCAAGTCTAGTTCATCCATACCAAATTTCAGCAAAAAATTCAATCGGGAAGGTCGTCAAATGATTTTTGCAAGTTAACTGGTTCGGAAAATACATATTCCGGACCAGTTAACTTGCAAAAATCATTTGACGACTTTCCCGATTGAATTTTTGGCTGAAATTTGGTATGGATGAACTAGACTTGATGAGGAACATAGACAAAACATTTGAGCAAAAAATACCACTGGGAAGGCCCCCCCAAAAAGGAGGCCGGACGGCGCTCTGGTCAGGAAATTCCTGACTGGAAGATTACTATATATATATATACACACACACATATACTTTGGTTCAAATGAGAACAACTCTTAACGTGAGAAATGAGAACCAATCCTAACCGTTTATATCAACTCTTTGCTTTCTTAGATCTAAATTCAACGTATGGGCATTTTAGTAATCAATTGAAACTAGTTTATTATGGTAACTACTTTTTTCCCACTTCCCATTAATGATTTCCGTTATTTTTGGGAACAACATTATGTGATCTTCTATCTTATAATATAATAGTATAATAATATTTCACTAACGATTGAAACATACGGAGAATTGTAAATGCACATTCATGATACCTATTACAATATCACTATTGAGTTATATTTGAGCATTATTTTCCTTCTGAAAATTAGTTATTTTTTTCCCTCTTAAAAATAGTTTTTTAACATTAATTTCACATGATGTGTTATTATATTTAACGACTAGGTACACAATTTTGCTTTCTTTTTTTGGCAATATTTGAATTATTACTATTTCTTCCACTTTTTTTGCACAACAATATCTCAGTAACACCTAAATTCATCACATTTTTCCGTGTGTGCTATATAGAAACTATTAGTTAGATTTTGGTTCATGTGCGTTAGATATTAGTTGTTGTGTGCTACATACGAGTTTTTGTGTATCAAATATTTTGTTTGCTAATATTCTTGTTGATATTGATTCATGTGCGTTAGATATTGCATGTTATGCGTTACATATTGGTTCTTGAGCATTTATGCATATTGTGCATTAGCTATTATATTGATTCTTGTGTGTAATTTACTAATTTAAGTTGTATGACATCTCTATGTGTTATATATTAATTTTCTTAATTGATGTGCGTTAGATACTTATTTTTGTGCTCAAGATACGTGTTATGGCTTTTTATATACGAACTATGTGTAAGATTCTTCTTCATGTGCATTGGACATGAGTGGTTGTGTGCTCTAACGTATATACATATTGTGCTTTAGATACTAGTTGATGTGTATCACGGAGTATATAATAGTTTGAACTTTAAATTATATGAAACCGTTATGAGATGAAATATTAGTTCTTAACTGTTGTGCGTTACGTATTGATTTTTGTGATTGAGATACCTGTTCTGGTGCTTTATACACAAACTATTTGTGAGATATTCCTTTTCATGTGCATTATATATTGGTTGTTGTGCATTGGATACAAGTTCTTGTGTGCCATAGTTGGAGATGCTTCTTGTAGTTTATTGTATACATATAATACTTATTTTTTTAAAATAAAAATTATATATGCTATATTGGTGTCATATGAAAGACAAAAAAAATTATTTAATTTGATATATTTTTTTGATAAAATTGGATTATAATTTAAATAGTTAAATGAATTTTAAGCTAAATAACATTTTATACGATTTGAGATTTAATTTTTACCTACTTTTTTGGAAAGTTGCAACCTACAACCGTTACCATGTTAAATGAATTTATAGAATTACTCTAATGACCTTAATTAGTTACACGCCTCTCTTTCTATTTGTATGAGGGGGTTATTATGTGAGGATGCCCATCTTTATATTGTGAGCCAATTACTTAATGGCCGTTCATTTAGTGAGATGGTGGGTTAGGATATGTTCTCATTTCTCACAATAAGGTATGTTCTCATTAGAACCACTCCCTATATATATATATATATATATATATATATATATATATATATATATATATATATATATATATAGACAAATATTCCTGTCCGGACGTCCGGACAGGAACCGCCGTCCGGACCGCGGCGTTTGGCCGCCTTCCCGGTGGCTTTTTTTGATGAAATTTTTATGGCATGTTCTCCATCAAATCTAGTTTATCCACAAAAAAATTCAGCCAAAAACTCAATCGGGAAGGTCGTCAAATGATTTTTGCAAGTTAACTTGTCCGGAATATGTATTTTCCGGACCAGTTAACTTGCAAAAATCATTTGACGACCTTCCCGATTAAGTTTTTGGCTGAATTTTTGTGTGGATAAACTAGACTTGATGGAGAACATGCCATAAAAATTTCATCAAAAAATTCCACCGGGAAGGCGGCCA